ACRTRYCTCRCAGTTTCTKCCTCGAGTAGCAGGTTTACATAAGCAATGATAATCATCATTATCGTAGTCAGGGTAACACGTTCCATTGTTCTGACATGGTGAGGGGTCCATACACTTGTTCTAGAAGGATAATATAAAGCAGAGATGTTGTAATAATTGCTCCACATTAAGAAATACACCAGTTAATTTCTAAGCAAATGAATATTTTTAATTCAGTATAAAAATGTTTAAAAAAGATATCATAATTATATAATTATACCGCTAATTTCTTTTATCTAAGGCCCCGTCCACACGTATCCGCAAATTTTTGTGTCCGTATCCGCAAATTTTACGAAAACGGATACGTGTGGACGGTGTAAACGATTCGAATACGCTGCGTGTGGACGCAAACATTTTCGTATCCGCAAAAAAGAATTTGCGGATACAAAAATTTCCGGATACGTGTGGACGGGGCCTAAGAAAAAAAAGAACCAAAAGACAATGCATAAATTGGATATTTAAAAAAAAAATTCAGTTAAACTATCATAAGTTATGCTTACCACAGGATAAAAGTAGTGAAAGTCTGTACTGGTAACCAATGAAGATCCTGAGTTGTACTTGTCTGTTCTTARTAACTGACAGTCGTGTTTGCCATTGATAGGATTCCCGAAGTTAAACGGCAAACATTCAAGGTGTTTTAAACATCTGAAGGCACACGAGCCAAGTTTGTTGACTATGTGAGTCTCGATAAGGTGAGTTGTGATTCGACGAAAAGCATCTGTTTTAAATGCCTCGTGCACAACTCCATCAGGTGTAACTTTTTTACTTTCTGTAGGAAAATTGTTGTGAAGAAAAATCCCGAAAAGGATGAAACACGACAAGTGCATGGCGCAGGCGAGCAGATGCTACTGACTGATGTCGACAATACAGGAGTGAAGGTAATAAGAAAAGTGTTGACGCGCTTTCGTTTTTAACGTTACATTTATTCGTTTCGATTCAAAGCGATTATAGCGGTAGAAAAACTAGAAAATTACAAAAATAAAGTGTCAGTACTAGAAACAAAAAATGGAAAAGCTAAGAAAGAAGAAAAAAGGGTTACTTACATCTGTTTCCTACGGTATACTCGACGACTAATAAAATATTCAAAAAACCGAACTTAACTAGTAAAACTAAACAAAAGAAGGATTAAAGTGAAAAGAAAAAATACTCAAGGGAGAAAATAATAACGTTACTTAGTGAGCTCAAGTTTGTATAAACATTGTTCGTGTATAATTAATGTTCTTTTCAGTTCTGCTGCAACAAAAAGACAAACAATTTCARTGGGTGCTTTTTTGGTTAAAAACGTATTATAGATATGCCTACAAACTAAGCATTTCATGCTGTGTGTGATGAATCAAACTTATTCTATAATTCATGAGTACATTTTATTCGTCGACGTGTTATTTTTCGTCTTTCTTAAATAGCTGTCGTGTCGTTCGAAGATCCGAAAGAATACACCGTTACGAGGAATACACTATCAAATTATTGAAGAATATGAAAGAACAAGTTGAATTAATTTATGAAGAAGGATTAGTTTGTTATACTTAGCTTTGCGTACTAAGTTGTTTAAAAGTGAATGTCAGTTAAAATAAAGCAAAATTTGAAAATTCACAGAAATATTGAGCGGTGTCAAAAGCATCAGTATGTCTAAATGTTAAAATATTCTGGCTCAATAGAGTGTGTCACTGCTTGGCTTTTTGAATGTTTTAGTTTGCTATTTTATGCGACAGTTCGACATCATAGATGGTTTTAATAACTTTGGTTGTGTCTAGATGGGATACTCGCAGTCCAGGTGATTGAGAGAGACTGGGGTTAACGAAGAAAAACTTTTTAGTGAAGACACCAAGAATCGAAACCCTAACCCTAACCCTAACCCATAAATATTTATTATAGCGTAAATTATGCTATCGTAGGGTACGACTACTAGCCGACTGAATAAAATTCCTCTGACAATTATACTCTCCCTAGTCTCTCTCAATTACCTGGACTGCGAGTATCACATCTAGACACAACAGAAATGACGCGAGAGATTTTCGCTTTCCCTTGTTATGTATCGTCGCATCAAAGCAATTATTGTTATCAACCTTGCTTTCAGTAATCTCTCATTTGAAGTGCCATATAAGGTCAAAAATTGAGTGGCTCAAAAATTGTAGAACGTTTCGCCTAGGAAAATGGTAACTAACGGTTGCACGAGAGAGATGCAACAGTTAATGAGCTCTAACTGGTCGTCTGGGATTGGTAAAAACATGGCGGATTATTTGAATTGGCTGACTTTGCAGACTTCAAAATCCAAAATCTTGGTTTTCACCTATACGTCATCATGAATTTTCAAAAGCGATATTTCGTATTATAATGAAGTTTCGTAATCTTGTAAAGCGGTCAAAACTACATATACTGGCCAAATTTCAAAGCTGTAAAGCATTTCGTTGCGGAATCATAGGCAAGTTAACATGACGCATTTTTTGGTCAAACGGCATGGAGAGACCATTTAGGTGTTCCAAGTTGGTGCAACCAACATGGCGGACGAAACTTCACAAAGGCATAAGATCATGGAAATTTTTTTTATTTCAAAATTATATTTCACTGAAATATACTTTAAATATCATATATTTTAAACGTGTCTAGGGGAAAATCTTTCAAATAGGGTAGATTATTTAAATGTTTTCATCGCTATTTAGAGACGCGTTACGGTATTTCTTCATATTGCGTGACAAATTAACACTGATTTCTAAAACATACCTGAGAAATTCCTTTATACGATGTATACTTTAGTTTTTGATGGTGTGATGACGTCATGTGAAAACCGAAAATAAATACCACGTGATAACTAGCGCCGAAATTGTGAATTGACGGAATATCCTATATTTCCCTTCGTTGCTTTGCAGCTATAGCCTGCGTCACATCCGGAATTTTCTTCGTAAAAATACCGGGTATTTACCAAGAAAATTCCGGATGTGACGCAGCTATTTTTTCTCAACTAGCTGACAAAATAAACCCGTATTGGCGGCTCCAAACAAGGGCGCTAGGATAGACGGATTGGGCTATCTATCGTTGTGTTTGTTTCACTTTCGTAGATACTAAAAATAGTTCACTGATCAGTATATGTTTGTTTCTAAATAAATACTCATTAGGGCTCACTTATCTTAAAAGTAAATGTCCTTTCCAACCAACGGTCTTTCTGGTTTGAATCAGCTGCACGCTCTGAGTATTTACCGCTGCACTATCCGTGCCAAGCAGCGCCGGCGTCGCTTCGTTAGCGATTACTTTCTTTAATAAGTTAATCAAATTTACCTTCAGTACAGTAAATTAGAATATTCTCTTGATAATACACAATAGAAAATGATTTTAGCCAATAAGATGACAGATTTTTATGACGAAAAATTTAAGGGAAATTCAGCAAACCGAGGGAAAAAATGGGAGCCATTTTATCTTGGGTAAAAATAAGCAAAGATTGAACGGATTTTACTATCAAACAACTAAAAAAACAGCTCAAAAAGAGAAAACACAAGTAAAAGTATATCGTTATGGCTTAATATATGGAAGAAATAGTGAGACGAAAAAAAACTATGACATGAATTGAGGGAAATGAGCCAGCCGACCTAAAGAAAATACTCGAGCGATTCTTTACCGAAGTAATTATAAAGCAAACTAAAACTAAAACAGGAACGAAAAAGACTATGAGCAAGAGCATCAAACACGATGTGGTAAGTGCTTACACAATATTTTGGTCTACAAGATTCCAACACTGTTTTTTTAGCCGCAAAATTTCTGAACACGTTCAACAACTGTCAGGTTTTCAATATACAACTCCACTCTCCAGTTAGGGAGCGATTTATACACAGTGCAATTTTCTCTGCAACTTGTCTTGCAACAGCGTTGCGACACAAGTTGCATGAGTATTTACACGGTGCAATGGAGACGAAAACAATTGCTGCAACTTGTTTCGCAACATTTTTTTTTCAAATTGAGCTGTAGGCTACACGCTGCAATGCTCCATGCAACTTGTGCCGCGTAATGCTGTTGCGAATTCCCTGCTAACAGAGCCTATTTTCCTTTTGCTTTGGTTGAGAGAGAAAAATAGACGGCAGAGTCTCCTTCCTTCCCGCCCGAAAAAAGAAGGGAGAGAAAGRGAAGAGAGACTCTGCTAGCAAGGAATGTTGCGAGACAAGTTGCAGAAAAGTGCTCCTTGTAATCGCGCCTTTACGTCCAAGAATATTTTTAAAGTAGCTAAAAACTCCTTCTAATGCTTGCACTGTTAAAGAAGCTTAATAAAAACATTAAATGACGTCTTAAAAACATTTGTTGTAATTTTCAAGATGGAAAGCAAAGTCTTATCGTCTTAAAAGAAGCCAAAAAAGGAGCCATTTTTTACTTACCTTTTACGACGTCTGCTTGAGACCTGAGTAGAACTAGAACAACGATTTCGAACTTGCCCGCGTCGAGAGTGTGCGCGCGTTTTCGTAGCGCTGTCGTGATAAATTCGGAGCACCGTCGGTAATGTGCAACAATGTTCCATCCTTCTACCATATGACAAGTCAATGGTTTTGTTAGCATTTCCGGTTTATTTAGCGACCAAGGCTCTTACTAAATTCGGATCTTATTCGAAAAATTGAATCAAATTTTCAAATAGCTAAAGATAAATATCAAAAATAAGTCGGTTGAACGTAGATATCGTGTTATTTTCATGTTTTTTGGTCTCAAAGCTATGAATTTAATATTTTATACGAATGTTACGTTCGGCTTCCGTCAAATTTTCAAATTTCAACGTGTCGTGAAAACTAGCTCTGGAAGGCCTAGTCTCTTTGTTAATTTTGAATCAGCGTTATTGATTGAATGATTGCAGTAATTGTTAAATTCTGCGCAAGAAAAGCTTTTAGAAAGTTTACTATTTACTTTTGTTAAAGTGTACAGACATCTCTTTGCCCATGCACTACCCCAATTTATTCTCGCTCCGGCGTTTGCTGTGTTGAAGGGAATTCAAGAGGAGAAAATAACCGTCGCTCATTAGAACCACAGAAAGCGAAACCGAGAACCTCATCTCTGGAGCCCATGGTATCTCCGCACCGATATTCAAAGGAAAATCTTTAACAAGAATAAGAATGACAATTTCTTGAATAAGAATGGCAATTTCCACAGATTTTATCGTTATCCACTGAATTCAATTCGAATGTGAGAGAACCAACGTACAAAGAAGTGTGTGTGATGATGGGGTGTGGTGTGAGGATAAACTGTAGCCGTACAAAGTAATTACAAAGGTCTAATATATGCATGAGTTTCTTGTCACAACCGAAAGCGGTTTTTTGGTGGACATCAAGCAAGGCTTTCTCCACTAACTGCAGCTGACTTTAAAACTTGTGTTATAGGAATGTCGTGGACGTTCCACGTGACCTGAATGACCAAGTCCGATTCATTTACTAACTTCGGCAGTATTTTGATGATTATTTTGATATTACCAATTCATTTGTCTCACGATTGAAGGTCATTAAGGACCGCGACGTCACTCTTAAGAGAGCATAAATATATTTATGCATTCATGACGTTACTAAAATTGAGCTTGGGAAACCGGTGACTTTATATTTGATCCACAGTGAGCCCGTAATAGAATGATCAGCGATGATTATTTGGCGCATGCGTATTAAACTATATTGTGAATGGAAACAAGATGGCGAACATTTTCGTCTTTCTCGTCTTCTCTTTACTCTTCTTTTACAATATTACTGCTTCCGAAAACCTACAAAACGACAAAGACCGTAAGTATATCATAAAGCGCTACTTGATTCATCTCTCTTGTAATTTTTAGCTTAAATTTTCAAATGTTTCTTATATCTTTTGACGCTCGAAATTCAGTCCTCATAAATTGTTTTCTAATTTCAGACGAAGTCAACGTGACTATTTTGGGAAAGGAAGATGTAAATACTTCGATATATCAGAAATATTTAGCGCATTTAAAGAAAAAATATAATAAAACTAAAGATGAGGAAGTTAATTTGACTTTGGGAAACCCAAATGCTACGATAAACACAACATTAGACGAATCTTTGAAACGCCCTAAATGGTTCTGTGAAGGACGACAAATGGATGATAAAGATTCTAGAAGAGTTTTGCTGGTGAATGACTCGGCGCTTTTAAAGTGGATAAATTCGTCGATTAATGGAAGTGATGGCTGTGCTGTGGTTATGTTTTATACGCCTTTTTGTCGTTTTTCTGCGAWTATTGCACCTCAGTTTAATGCATTCGGCAGAGCGTACAATAATACTCCAATACTGGCCATCGATGCTTACAAGTATAGCAGGTAATGTATGTTCGGTCAATACGAAA